CCTAAATCAAAATTAATTTTCAATATACATTTCATAATATAAATATTATATAATACTGTATAATAAATTTTAATAATACTAACCTGTTCATTAGTTTGTCCATTAACTTGTACTTGCCCACTATATGCTTGCCCACCTTGTGCTTGCCCACCATTCACTTTTCCACCTTGTTCTTGTCTGCCATTCGCTTGCTCACTTTGTGCTTGCCCGCTTTGTACTTGCCAACTATGTGCTTGCCCACCTTGTGCTTGCCTGCTTTGTAATTGCCCACCATGTGCTTGCCCGTCTTGTGCTTGCCCACTATGTGCTTGCACACCTTGTGCTTGCCAATCTTGTGTTTGCCTGCTTTGTGCTTGCCCCTTTTGTGCTTGCCTGCTTTGTGCTTGCCTGCTTTGTGCTTGCCCACTTTGTGTTTGCCTGCTTTGTGCTTGCCCGCTTTGTGCTTGCTCACTTTGTGCTTGCCCACACACTTGCACTTATAGTTCATTAACTTGCACTTGTTTATTAATTTGCTCTTGTTCATTATCATCTTGTGCTTGTAGTTCATTGAATTGCACCTGTTCATCAGCTTAGGCTTGTAGTTCATTGGCTTGTGCTTGTAGTTTATCAGCTTGTGCTTGTAGTTCATCAGCTTGTACTTGAAAAGATGGTATGTTTAATATTTTTTCAAGACAATGTGAAGTTAATGTTTCAATATATCGATTTGGTGTTTCATAATCTTTATATTTGCAAGGACAACAATTATATTTTATAATACACTTCCAGTGAAAGAAGTGCCTGCAGTTGAGTAAAATTACCGATTGCAAAAGATTAGAAGAAATTTCACAGCTACATATTTTGCAAATATTAGGGTCTCTACATTCCAAGGAATTAAATCATCATCGTTGAAGTACAATTTACAAGCAAATTTTTTCAGTTAGTCTATAATTAGTAGGAAAAATGGTTTTATTGTGCACTCACCCAATTGCTTTATAAATACATTAAAAAAAAATAGATTTAAGAATTAGTAATTAAATAATATAGACTCGTAAGTATAAATCTTATTATAAGTTTAATTTTAACTAGTGTCATTTCTTTTACTATAGAAAAGTATAACATAAATATGATTCTTACTATAAGATTAAATTTTGGCTATCGTCATTACTGTTACTATAGAAAAATATAATGTTATAATGATTTAAAAATGAAATCATAAGTGAGCCATTAGTGGCCATTCAAATTCATAGATTATTCCGAATAATTTTAATTTTTTTTTATATGTTATATACTTAGAATTCAATGTATCACAAATCGACTATATTATTAAAAATGTAACTGTATAATGATAATGTATGTAGTAATTAATTGCTTACATAAATCAGTTATGTCAATTTTAAAATATCGAATTTTTAGATTATATGTTGATAGGCCGGGCAAAATCTAGAGATGTTATAGCTGTTTTTATAAATTCTAAAAAATTCAGCAAAAATTAATTAGCCGAATATTTGACAATTTGTTAAGTTCATCAGAACTTAACAAATTGGCAAATATTCGGCTAGTTAATTTTTGTTGAATTTTTCAGAATTTAGTAAGTTGCTCTGGAATTGATAATATTATATGACTTTTGAAACTTTTTTGGATGGCAATTTTACTCTAGTTGGTTACATACAGGGTTTTTAATAAGATTATTTGGCCTGCATTAGCATATAATCTGGCTTGCATTAAATATCATTTGACCTGTATTAAATATCATTCAGCCTATATTAATATTAATGGCCCAATTTCTAATTAGTAATTGACTCTTTTCTTTAGATATACTATGGCAGATTCAAATCTAATAATCTAATCATGAAGGACCTTCATGATTATCACATAATTATGCATTATGAGCAATTTAGAATAATTATTTCTTCAATCGGTAGTTATCTTATTTTACTAATACTCTAATATCT